GACAAGCCCGCCAAGACGAAGCCGCCCGGCGCCAGGAGCTTGTTGACATATTTCAATGTCGACAACGCGCTTAGAAAAATAAAAACGACCTCAAAATGAACCTTGCAAATGAGCAGCTGAGAGACTGAAGACGACTTGCATTTATCTAATTTATGTAAATTATTGTTGTGATCGGACTGAATTAGGATTTTAAGAGAAATAGTTTGTAAATTGCAATATCACGAGAGGAGATGAATTTCACTGACGACGTAGTGCGGCCGACAGACAGACGGACAGACGGACAGACGGACAGACGGACAGACGGACAGACGGACAGGCAGGTCGCCGCGCACACTTGTGGCATTATTTAGAGGACATTACTGTATGTTGCTACATGTACATTCTAATCATTTATTGGAACAAAATACTATTAATGTAGTGCTACATTATAAGTTTCAATGAACTTTACTATTACCTAACCTTCTCGATACGTGAATGTGAATAGTGTTTGATTTTTTATAAATGTAAGTTTCCATTAAGATATAAGTAAATAAATGTATAAAACCGTGACCAGTGTTTGTTATCGATTCAGTGCGGTATGTTATCAGTTATCACCTGTGTGCTTATCGCAACAAATCCTGCCGATAGCATCGACATGAGGTCCGCGTGAGCGAGGCTCCATTTCTCTTATCATAAATAACTCTTTATGTATTCAATGAACAACAGTATCTGAAGTACTCGCTCTGGAGGTACTCGAGGCGGGATGTTTGTACAAAATAAAACAACAAGTCATGTGCCATTGCTCACTCTTTATTACGCTTGTTAATTCAATGTATAAAACATAATATAAATTATCTTGTAAAATATCACCACTGAGTTGCAAGATGGCCGCGAGCTCGCTCATTATGATATCCGTTTTGTTTAAAAATGTTAAAATGATCGATCGCTTCAGAATGAAAGTTACAGAAAGCGTGTCGCAGTCGGCTCGCGGCCACGGCCCGACGTCGCCACGCGCGTGTCTGGCAGGGGAGGGACAGGTAGGGCAGGGGAGGGACAGGCAGGGCGGGGAGGTCGGACAAGCGGCCGCCGTACAATTTGTTATACCTACTACATCTAACCAGCTTACAGCTACCACTTACGCTATGTACATACAATATTTACCAAGCGACGTTTTCATCTTAAAAAAGTCCTTACTTTTATCGTATTAATTTGAAAATTTGTTAAATGTCTTTAATTTCACCGAGTTCATTCACACCACTTTTTCTTTTTTCTTTTTTTTATATTTTCTGTTCATTTTATAACACAACAAGAATAACAGAAGTTTAGCCCGGCTACATCTACAGACGAAGTTATAGTTGTGCGGGGGCGGGGGAGGGGGCGGCGCACCCTTCCTGACATGTAAGTCTCTTCTAAACCTTACAACGATAAAAATGCTGTTTATATCATCGATGAAAACATTTTGCTAACACCGATATTAATAAACCTGGAGAAATTGCTAAAGAACGTTACTTCGAGGGCGTCACAAGCGGCACCGACATTGCTGTATCTGGAAACGACACTTTTATACGTTCATCTCTTTGATTTCCTCACATTTATAAATAAAAAATTACGAGAAAGCGAGGGAGAGAAGTCGCCCCCGCCCCCGCCGCCCGCCGCCCCCGCACACAGCGGATAGATATAACCTCAGTAATACACAAAAGAATCGCGCGTCGCCGGACGTTTGCGATGACGAACTCGACTTACAAAACTTGTACATGATTATCTAAATGTTGCGCCAACACAAACACCGAGCGGCCGCGATACGAGATCAAGTCAAGTCAAAAATGACTGCCCTTCGTGTGATGCGGACCTCTCCCGCACTTTACTACGATTTATCTTTGACAAACGTTTTGAAAAATGAGTGTCTACTATGTATAAAATCACTAACAAGTATTTGTTTTCTAAGTGAAAGTATCCTTTGTAATGTCTTTTAGTACATTTATATTAAGTTAGTGTAACGTGCACCTTAAGCTAATTGTCGACTTCAAATATTCACGATAACTACGAGTCGCGTCAGCCCTCACCCCTCGCCTACCCCTCGCTCACCTCCGCTCACCGCTCGGTCACAAATACATTACAAAGACCGATCGCATTTCACTCTTAAAGAGGCTGCAAAGTATCACTAAACTTCTTTTGTAATGATCGCAACATTGTAAGAAAATAAGACTCGCCCCTGCTGCGAAACAATGAGATCCGCAAGTCGTGCGCCCGCGCGCTGCCTAATGCAAATGTTATATGTTCTGATAACGTATACAAAATAGCGCAAAGAAATCCGCATCACTCGAAATCAACCCCCGCACCCCGCACCCCCCCGCACTCGCGCACTTACAAAAACGAGTAAAGATATCAAAAAACTACCTGCGCCGCGCCGCCGCCGCCGCAGCAGCAGCAGCAGCGCGCGACGCATACACTTTGTACTTTGATCATAGAGTGCAGAGGAACTCGAACACTGGAGCGATCACACGGACAGACAAACTTTACATAGACGCCGTTTAGTCCATTTACAATAATGTTATAGAAAAGATGGCCGCGGAGGTCGCGACACTGCACTCGTTACGAGCTCGTTCTGGGCTGTTGTTACACGTTCTGTGTCGGCGCTCTCCGGCGAGCTCTGCCGACGCTTGTCGTATCGTGACATTTGTCGTCACGTCGTTGCCGCCGCGTGACGTGACGTGACGTGACGTGACGTGACGTGACGCGGTGTCACAGGAGCGCGCGCAGGGCGGACGCTCCTCGCAGTGGACGTACTGGAACAGCAAAATATATCGATTATTTTTAAATCTGCAACTAAAGCGACATGTTAGTGTGTAATGGTCTCGCCGAGGCTTGCGACATCACCGAGATGTAATATTATATGGTTATAATAAAAAATAGTTTATTTCTAACATCGAAGATTTCAAATTTGGAAATATTTACATACTTAATATCGCTAACACTTTACTAAAGAACATTATTTCTGTAAAATTAACAGTCGCTATACGAATTAAATTTGTTTTATTGTAGCAGTATCAGTGAGAATGTGTGCAGTGTGTATGTGTGTATGTGTGGCGGTACGCACGTGCGCTGGCGGCGATCACCAGCAGAAGACGGAGAGCTCGCCGTGCGCCGCGCCCACCGCGCGCCACGACCGCACGCCGCCGCCCACCTTCAGCTGCGACACACCTCGTATTTACATATCTCGTATATACCTGATACCTTTGAGTGCAAAGGTATGACGTATTACAAGAATACCTTATGTCTAATAATACCGTTGTACTTAAATAAATCTGTACCAGGTAGGTAGGTATAGGTATACCAAGTCGGAAATCATACGGAATCATACGGAAATTAATCTTACTAATCTTACTAATACTATAAATGCGAAAGTTTAGATGGATGGATGGATGTTTGTTAGCGTTTGTAGTCTAAACGACTGAACGGATCTCCATGAAATTTGGCACAGGTTTAGAGCATAGTCTAAAAGAACACATAGGCTACTTTTTATCCCGGGATAAGTTACGGTTCCCGTGTTAGTTTTTTAATGTGTACTCGATCATTCTGCAACGGTTCAACATATCTTATTGAAATTTGGCACAGATGTAAAACAAAGTCTGGAGTACACATGGGATAAGCTTCATCCCCGAGGTGTCCGGTTCCCGAGGGATACGTAGCTTTTTGTTATTTACATAGTTCGTATGTTTTCTAATACCACGCGGACGAAGTCGCGGGCAACAGCTCGTTATTTTATAAATCCTTGTTCGTATTGCGTTTACTTGAATGACATCATAATTTATGGTATATTTAAATATTCAGTAAAGTTATTTGTAACGTTGTTACTAATTGTACTTCTTTTAACAAGTAAGCTTATAAGTATTACGTCGTCGAATTGGAACCTACAACCTCGTATTGGTACACTCGCTAAGGACATTCCACACATTGTCTCGCCGGCGTACTAAGCGACGCGGCGAGTATGAGCCGGCGATACAACAACAGCGACACGCAGGTCGCGTTCCACTGCGGGGCGCGCGGCGGGCTGCGCGGCGCGGCGGCGGGCTGCGCGCGCAACGGACGCGCTCATTCAGCCGCGCTCAATGAGCGCCGCCGCGCGCCATTCACCGCGCCGCCCGGGTAGGGGGACCGCGTCCGACAGAACAAACTGCATATTTTCGCGATTCGCATTTATATGATGTTACTGATTTTAGTTTAGGTACGCTATACGTTTTCACTACAAATGTCAGTAAAAGGCTGCACTACACTCGCCATGACGCATTTTTTAATTAGCATATGAAGTTTATGAATGCAAAATATTGAAACAGACCAACAACGAAAATAAACGTTTTCTGTGCATCATCTGTATGTAAAATACTAAGTCAAAATTATTTATGGATCAGACAAATGTTCGGGGAAAGCGTCAAGTGGCAAACACTTGTGGTTCACGGCGCAATTTGAGCACGCATGAGGTTCTATAAGCCCACCTTTTAAAAGCGATTAGAAATTTAGAAAAGCCGCCAAAAGTATAGGAATAACGATACATCCTCAAAATATGTCTACCGTGACATTATATTGAAGATCGTTACTAAGATATTCACTACTTTCTAGAAATTAAAACGACGTTACTGAATATTAGGAGGTCCTTCACATCGCGGCCGTATCTAGTACAAGATGTTGTCGGTAAGTCAGTTCGTTGACTCCGCTTTATCTGCGCCTCATCCGCGCCTTATCCGCGCCTTATCCTGCCGATAGTGTCGCCCACTTTATCAACAAACTGATTGTAAATTAAGCAGCGGAGAATCTATACATCCCGAGTTTCATCACCGCGCTGTATTATCGATGTGCTTTTAAATTTTCGTATTCCGTAAGTACCTTATATGTTGCGGTAAAGAAAAACATCGCGATACAACTTGCACATAATGTGTGCAGTGGGCGGCGTGCATGAGTATGACCTCGTCACTCCCGAGGGGGGGGGCTCGCCTCCCGCGGG